TATTCTTTTCTGCTTTTATATCTTCAACTCATTAATCATTCAATATCGAATTCATGATGTATATAATCTATCTCTTGATAACAATTTAGAATATAAGATTTAGAATAAAAATAACAAAAAAAGAAGAAAATAGAAATATGATCTTAAAAATAAATTCAGTTGAAATTGAAAGAAGAATGGGAAATACAACAATAATAAATAATTCAACAAGAAATGATAGTAAACATAAAAACAAATTAGGATATAATGAAATAATGATAACGTCAAAGTATTTTAATGACATTGACGATTTTATTAATTTAGAAATAGGAATTAAAAGATTTCAAGGAAATATGGAACGATTTCATTTTAATCCAATTCCATTAAATCAATATTCAAGAAAATTCTTTCCTAATATTGAGACGTTTCATATTTATGATTGCGGTGATGAAGTATTTAAAGATGGAAGAATATTTAAACATATAATTTGGTGTATAGTAGAATATTCAACATATTTACAAGAAAAAGAAAAAGGAAACATATGTAAAAACATAGAATATACAAAAGAAGATAGAAAATTATATGGAACTACAATACCACCAGAAGTTAATTCAATTGGATATGAATGTTTTAAATATTGTTATTCAATAACTTCTATTAATATTCCAATAACAAACACATCATTTAAAGAGAGTTGTTTTTATGAATGTTCAAGACTAACAACAGTTAATATACCATCAACAGTTAGTACAATAGGAGATAAATGCTTTAGTGGATGTCCATCATTAAAATCAATGAATATAGAAAATATAAAATTTATTAGTAAAGAAAGAATATTTATGAATGAACCAGTGTTAGTTAGTATTAAAATACCAGGAAATTTACAAAGAATAAATGGAAAGAAGATTAAAAAGAAAGATATTAATGAATTTATCATTCCAAAAACAATTACTAAATTAGATAATTATTGTTTTGGAGGGTGTGTATCATTAAAATCAATAAATATTCCAACAACAATTAGTGAAATAGGAAATAGTTGTTTTGATAATTGTACATCATTAACAAAAATTAATATACCAACATCTATTAGTATAATAAAAAAAGAATGTTTCCATAAATGTTTATCATTAAAATCAATCAAAATTCCATTATCAGTTACTGAATTGTGTAATAAATGTTTTTGTAAATGTAAAACATTAAAGTTAATTAGTATTCCATCATCTATTAACACAATAGATTATTGGTGTTTTAAAGGATGTTCATCATTAACATCAATTACTATACCCACAACAATTAGTGAAATAGGAGATTTTTGTTTTAATGGTTGTACATCATTAAAATCAATTAATATACCTTCATCAATTACGTCAATAGGATTGAACTGTTTTTATAAATGTTCATTACTAACATCAATTAATATGCATAATGTACAATTCATTAGTAAAGAAAGAATATTTTTTAATGAATTAGAGTTAAATAGTATGGAAATACCAGAAAAACTAGAAGTGATAAACGGAAAGAAGATTGAAAAGAAAGATATTAATGAAATTACCATACCAACAACAATTACTAAATTAGGAGGTAATTGTTTTATTGAGTGTTCATCATTAACATCAATTAATATACCAACAACAGTCAGTGAATTAGGATGGAACTGTTTTAAAGGATGTTCATCATTAAAATCAATTGATCTACCAACATCAATTAGTGAAATAGGAAATGATTGTTTTTATCAATGTATATCATTAAAATCAATTAATATTCCAACATCAATAAATGAATTTGGAATTGAATGTTTCTATGAATGTGGAATTGAAGAAAAGTTAAGGAAAAATGAAAGAATACCAGAGTATTGTTTTAGTTAATAGTAATACTGAAAAGAAATAAATGAAAGAATAATTTAAACAAACAATTTAATATCAACAAGTTATAAAACAAAGAA